ATGGCCTTGAAACCCACAGTTTCGACATGTACTATCAGCCGCAGGGCACTTTCCTGGACCATGCTGGTGCTGACAGTTTCTGCAGGATTCGGGAGAAGAAACTGGTGACTGTGACGGGGGCTGTGGAGAGGACGTCGTCTGCATCTGGCGTTGATTCCTCTTGTAGGTGGAGACGGCGTGGACTTGAGATGGCGATGAGTGTATAGCTGAGGCAGCCTCTCTTGTGGCCTCATACGACCTGCAACAGGTGACGAAGTCGGTGAGGGAAGAGGCGGCGTCGAGGGTGAGGAGTTTCTGAAGCAGGTCCTCGTCACGTACACCCATCAGCAAGATCATCTTGAGCTGGATCTCAGCACAGGTTACAGGATCGCCTGTACATAGGTCCACCTCGGTTGCTAGGTCCTTAAGTCGTGCATAGAAGTCTGAGAATGATTCCCCAGAAGCTTGTTTGCAGGATAGCAGTTCCCTACGACGCAAAGCTTCATTGCGGAGGCCACGGAAATGACTCTGCAAGGCGTTTAAAACCTCTGTCACTGACCTGGGGGAGTCAGGGGGGATGGCTAGCGTGTGCTCTAGGAGGCGTTGAACATCGAGGGAAATGCACGATCTTAATTGGATGAGTTGTTTATGAGGGGGCATTCGGTTGAGGTCAGACATAACAGCAAAGTCTTCGAAACGACGTCGCCATTGACGGTATACTTGATATGTTGCATCAGATTGAAGAGGTGGGGGGCTGGGAACTGAAGACTTGCTGTGCAGGGGTGTACTCGAGACGGCAGGCGGTGGAGGAGGCACGGAGAGGTCGACGAGAGTTGAGACTGGAACAGGTGGTTGAGAAGACACTGAGGCATACCTAGGGGAGATAGGTGACGTGTGAGGAGGCGTTGTCTGAAGGATAGATGAAGAGGCTGAAGCTGGCGAATTGGTTGTGGCAGCTGGTGAAGTCGTCCTCGTTGCCAGCAATTCCAATAGGTCCAGGAATTTGCGGTTATCAGCTTGGTGTTGTTGTTGAAGTTGAAGGCGGTAAGCTGATTCCTCTGACTGTCTTGACAATTCCTCTTGACGTCGTTTTTCCTCCTCTAATTGACGTCTTTGGGCTTCCTTCTCTTGAGAAACTTGTAGGAAGTGGATTAACTGACGTATATCCTGGCTCCCATCCTTTGAATTTGGCGCGCCCGGCGTGTGAGGCGTGAGGGGGGGTGGGAGGGTCTGTGAGGCGTCGTCTTCCTCATAATCCTCATATAAATTTCCCAGCAAATCGTCGTGGTCAGACATCTCGTGCTTGGTATTGTTGCGATGGGGAAGACAAGGAGAATAAGGTGAAGTGCTATATTTTCGCCAATGGATTTGCTTAAGTGCAGGAACTGGCTGGCAAGTAAAAGAGTACTGACTGTAATATTTGTGAAGTGAGAGGAGGCGGCTAGCGGCGGTGTATTCCTCCGCGCGCCCGGGCGAGATGCTGGTTCAGTGGGAGGGGACGCGGGCAGTGGCTTGCGAGCCTCCGTGGATGGGGGGTGTATGCCGGAAGTGCTGTCTTGGAAACTGGGCTGAAGGCGTGTCTGCTACCTGTAGGGCCGCAGAAACATAGCAAAGAGACATGAAAGGCACTGCACTTCACTTAGGGCACTTCACAAGGTCACAAAGCACTTTAAATCCAGGGGCACTGTGGAGTATATCTTCTGGGCGGGAAACACGAGGCCGGAAACAGACAGGGCCGGCTCTTGAGGCTTGTAAACTGTCGTGTTGGAGCTACTCAAACTGCGCCATGTGGTGTGGTGGATGTAATCCTAGACAAGGTTCTTGAAACTCCAGGGCACGAGCAGTAGGTATATTCAATAAGTGGTACAAGGCTGGGCGTGATAGCCAACCGATACAGGAGCGATTACTAGGGACCCCGGACCGTAGGTAGGCCGGAGCTGATCTGAGGGAAATTAGCTAGCCAGGCAAAGAGAGTTGCTAGACATTCCTAGGACAATAAATGAGGTCTTCTAATTACTCGACTAGCGCGGTACAGACATAGTACATCGGGACATAGTAAATGAACATAGGCATTAGACATAAGCATGGACATCAGACATGCTATAATAATATGTAGTAATACAGACATGTGAATAAATGGTACAATGAATGGTAACAAGAGTCCTGGTGTCAGGCGTGTTCACATATCTTGGTATGTACATATCTATACAGGAGGAACATAAAGTGATTCCGTGTGAGCGGTTTCATACACAGCTAAACATGTTTACTTCTATATGTGATATAGACAAGATCAACATTGATGGATTTTAAGTTCACTAAAGACACTTTTGCGAGATATATTAAATTTTCATTCACGTGAGCTTCATATGATCAGCCTCGACCAATCAGAGGCAAAAATTAAATTACAAGTATTCATTCGTATTATGGTTTCCTTGTGACGAAACACCGAAAATGTGCAAAAACAATAAGAGAATGACTTAATCCTTCTCCTTTGGTTAAATAAGAGAAGTTTTTTGTAGTACTGTACAGGGTATTGGGACTTTTTGTAGGTTAGGTCAGTAATTATTTTTAGTGTTCTAACCTTACATTTTCCCTCATCTTCAAACTCCTGCCCACCTTCTGTATATCATTGTCATATCTCCATAAATAGACATTAGCAATTAAAATAAAGGTCATATTTCCCATTATGGTTACTAACGAATCTATACTGAATGAGCAATTTTAGGAATAATCTCAACAGAAGAAAACATGCTTCTTACCTCTCAAGTATCCAATAATGGCTGGAGGAATTGAAGCTTTCATACTGCTTGTTTTTCTTTAGTTTTTGTAAAGAGTAAATACCACTTGGTTCACAGATGCCATGTTTAGGATTAAGTTGTTGATGGTAATATTTCTCTCCAAACTGTGTGCACCTTTTCCACAGTGGCATGTTTATCTCATTTACAGTAGTTCATATGGAAAGTGTACCGGGAAAAGGTCAAACTATAGGTGATTTATGATCGTAGGTCGAGAAAAACGAAAAAAGATTATAGGAAAAAGTTGTCCTATCATTTTTATCACACACTATCATCCAAACATCACTTGTAGAAAAAATAACAAAATAGAAAAACTCTTTCTGGTGTTAGCCGTCTCCTCCACCATTACCTAAACTTATAATAGTTGATGACTTAATTTTCAAACAAAATTATAAAATTATGGAGAAATAAAAAGCAACATGATAAATAATTAGTTAGGTGAGTCCCACCTTAAAAGTAAATACTAAATACAGTACGTATTGTACTACTAAATTACAGCACTATACCTTCATATTGGTAGCAACACTAGGGTATCCCTAATGAACCTGGAGCAGTAAGAGCTCCAATATGTCAAAAGATACTTAAGGTTCTTGAAGTAAGAGTTGAGATGTTAACTTACATACATATCCCACAACTATTACTCTTCAACTACTGTCTGAAACACACCAGTCTCCCACCTAACAACCAGGTCCAATCACAGTGGTTCACACTACACTACCTTCATACTGGGAAAGTCAAGTCATATATATTGTACATATGATGTTCAACTCTGATGGCCAACGCCATCTTTTGAGCAAACACTTCCCTTCTCCATATTCACCTTAGAAGAACTCATGAAAATACAGCTAGACCCCGACTTACGACGGGGTTAGGGACCCAAATCCAGGTCGTAAGTCGGACATGGTCGTAAGTCCGACATAGATAAAAAAAAAAAAAAAAATTTTTAATAAAAAATCTACAATGAAATACAGTGCAGTAAAAGTAATGAATAAAGAGGAATGGATACAGTACAGTGACAGTAATAAATAATAAGGAATGGATACAGTGTGACTGAGCACTTACCTTTAATGTAGTCAGCTGAATGCACATGGGGCCCCCATAATTTTCTAATTATACATGGAGACTACATTAACTGGAAACGTTTCGGTATAGAAAATGCGTGTCATTTGAAAAAAAAAATATATATATATTTTTTTTTTAATAAAAAATCTGCGGCGGTTGTAAGTTCATAACTATAGAATAATTTTACAGACAAATAATTGTTTTAATGTTTAGATTCCAATTCTTGATGGGATCAAGGAAAAATGACTGACTTAGCGAAGCAAATGGCAAGTAGACTGTGGTATCAGTGCCTTCAGTTCACCAATGAATTAACTAAAACATAATTGAATTATGAGTTATTTCAGCAGAAAGTACCATAGCCACTGAGCAATATATACAGTACAGTATCTATTATCTGTTTGTCAGCACTCTGGTTCATTCTTGCTAAAATCAGATTGTTAAGTGATGGTTTTTTGAACAGTTGGGATGGAGACTAGAAGACTATAGTGCAATTCTGTACAGTATACTGAACTGCACAGTACAGTACTGATCTTAGAATTTTTTCTATTTATTTTAGTTAAATTACGTTTCAGTTGTTCTTTGTGAATTTTCGCTCTCACTGTTTAGTACAATACTCCCAAAGAAGATTTGTTTGTATGTATTCAGGAAAGCTTTTAAAATATTCCAAATTAATACCTGTACTGTTCTACAGTTGATGTGCCTTTATTTGGCATCTTACTGAAATTTCAGTAAATGATGTGAATTACTTTACTGTACTTGTGCTAGCTACTAAAGATGTTCTGCTGTGTATACACTGGCATGTTTGTCAAGTGCTTTGTTTGATTCTGTTGTTATCCTGAGGAAAAAAAAAAGGTTACTAAACCACAGAAGTAAAGACTGATGTAATGATCATAAAATTTATAAATTTTACTTTTACAAGTCAAGAGAAATCTACCAAGGCTGGAATGCACAACTTAATGTAATGTGATGTTTTTTTAATTGGTTAGGAGAGGAGTACAGTACTGAACACTTCAGGCACAGTATGTGTGCTGACATTCTAGTATATAATCGTACGTGTTCCATTTATTTTACCTTTATGGATACCGGGTAATTTTTTATTTATTTATTTTATTTGACTATTGTTTAAGTTATGTGTTGTGCATTCAATGATTTTCCATGTGGTAGTCTCACACAAAGAACAAGATGGCGGACGTACGAGACATCTTGGAACTGGAGCGGTCACCTACCCCAGAGGTGAGCAAGGAGGTCATCCTGGGCCTGCGTAAGGAAGCGCCCAAGAAAAAGAAGGAGAAAGAGGGCATGCGGAGACCTGAAGGCATGCACAGGGAACTTTATGCTCTCCTCTACTCTGACTCAAACAAAGATCTGCCCCCTCTGCTGCCATCAGACAGTGGTGAGTATTGTTTGTCTGTTTACTGAAGTATCTAGTTCAGTGAACTTTTGTGTGTATTGTATATCTGTATGGTATTAAATTTTTCCCTATACTTAGTAAAGGTTGAGGCAGAGAATTTTTACCTAACCATATAATTTTCTATGCACCTGAACCTTTCTAGTTAAGAAAAACCCAGTATACCCTGTATAACAGTTTTAGGCAGACATGTTTACAAGTAATTTTTACCAAGTTTAGAGTCACCTTGGATGAGTAATTTTTTTCACAATTTCATTATTATGTTTATATGCTCTGAAAAAGTGATAGGTTGCTTGACACACACACACGCACAGAGGTAGATTGATAGCTGAATAGATAAATACAACACCATCCTTATCTTCTGATATCTTCACAAACAGGTCAAGGATATAAGAGCGTGAAGGCCAAACTTGGAATGAAACGAGTCCGACCCTGGAAATGGATGCCATTTACCAATCTTGCTCGCAAAGATAATGCTGTCCTGTACCACTGGCGGCGAGTGTGTGACGAGGGCAAGGAATACCCATTTGCTATGTTCAACAAGGTAATCTGCTTCAGTTAATGATTAGGTTTAGGTTAGGTTTATTTAAGTTCAGATTTGGTTAGGTTAAGTTAGATTAGGTAATGTTAGTCCTCGGTGAATCGTGTTTGGATTGACTGGCTGGGAACATATCAGATTGAAGTGACAACAAACAAACCAACCGCCCCCAACAGCTAGTAAGATTCAATTATTTTGCCATATGAAATTCTCTTGATAAAGCTATAGTATTTTATATTCGTTTGTGCTTTGGTCTGAGTACCTGTAAGTAGTCTGCCTTTCCTAACCTGATATCTTGACTCAACATCATTTTCTTTATTTTGTATTTAATGAAACTAATGTGGCTTTTAATTTTATGTTCAATAAACCATATTTGAATTGTAGACATTTTGATTGTGCTTTCAATTTCAGAAAGTGGAGTTGTTATCATATTCAGATGCAGAGTACAGTGAACACCTGCTGTGTGATGGCTGGACTAGGATAGAAACAGACACTCTTTTCGAACTGTGTCATAGATTTGACCTGCGCTGGCCTGTCATTCACGACCGCTGGCCATCACACCTCACCACGCGTAAAATGGAAGATCTGAAGGAAAGATACTATAGTGTCACCAACATACTGAAAAAGGTATTGTGTGTGTGTGTTGTGGTAGCTTGTGCTTACAGCTATTTTGCACAATTATTATCATTTATTGTTACTGTGCTCTATATCCATTTTTGCCTCCATAGCACAAGCAGGGGACATTTATATCCACAACTGTTCCTTTGTCTTTACCTCAATCTGTATATGTGCCACTCCCAAGTTTGTTAGGAGTACATTATTATGCAAAAAATATTCAGCATAGAGCAATAAAGTTTTGAATATTTTTTTATATACTGTACATGTTTACACTTACAGGTAAATAACTTGACTGGACCAGAAGGAAAAATTGTCAACTACGACGCAGACCACGAGCGACGACGCAAACAACAGCTCCTTAAACTCTGGGACAGAACACCAAAACAGGTAAGCAATCCTTCTGGGGTATAAGGTGAGGAATAGCCAATTAGTTTCAGACAGATAGTTGGAAACAGCAAGTGCTAAAATGATGTATTCCTTCTCTCATTTTGGAACTTCCAGATCGAGGAGGAACAACAGCTGCTGTGTGAGCTGCGTAAAATTGAGGCTCGTAAGAAGGAGAGAGAGAAGAAGACTCAGGACCTGCAGAAGCTGATCAGTGCTGATGCTGATGCTCGCAAGATTCCCAAAACTACCAAGAAGAAGATACAGCAGACGAAGATTGCCAAGTTGGACGCACAGGTAAGGTTAGGTTAGGTGGTATTAGAGGTTAAATTAGTTTAGGTTACACTTACTAAGTTCTTTCCTTTAGTAATGCAAGGCTATAGGGAGTGTGGAGGGGGAAGAGAGAGTGAATGGAAGGAGAAGGAGTTTGTAGAGATAAAGGTAGTTAGCTTGGTCCCTGGATTTTTTAGGATAGAACAATAAACATTGATACACAAATAGGAATATGGATTAATAAAAGTGGAGAAATAAAGGAAGGTTAGATAGACAATAAACATAATGCATTTTATATTTGCCATATTCTTTTATTTCCATGAGCAATCTTTCAAAAGTAATAATTTATTTCTCTTCACCTTTAGCCTCCAAGCCTGGAGAGTTGCACGGGCATCAAGTTCCCTGATGTGAAGTCTTCTGGAGTCAGCTTAAGGTCACAACGTATGAAACTTCCTGCCAGTGTTGGACAGAAGAAAGTTAAAGCCATCGAACAGCTTTTGACTGAACTGAACTTAGGTGAATTAGTTATGCATGTCTTTGGGGTATTCTTTGTGTTTATTTAGTAAGGAGGAGTAACTTTTTCATTATGGTTTCAAATTTTGATGTACATATGTATAGTACAGGTATAGACCCTCAAATCCATGAACCCTTGGAACCAAGATCAAACTGATTTTGAGAATTTTGCTAGTTTCCTGAGTCTTGGCCATCTATCTGCCTTAACTTGGCCTACCAGTGTGCTTCCACACACACACACACTCACACAGACTCAGTTGAACTTTTGTTTCACTTCTTAAATAACAAAATAAAGAAAACATCATTGTATGCTTCCTTTATATGGAAAAAACATTAAATATATCCATTTTCTTAAACTGAGTTACCTAGGTAGGCCTTCATCACAGTGTAATGTGTGTTTATGTCCGACTCCAGCAGCTTCACGTGTGCACCACAACAGTTAGGAAGTAGAGAGTTCAAAAATAGATTATTATTTTTTGTTCACATAGCTAGCTTTTAAAATTAAAATTGGTTGAATTAAATCAAAGATTCTAGGAAACTTATGGTAGATGCTGCCTGTTCTCACATGACTAATGTGACAAGCAGCATCTAGCAAGAGTTATGATACCTCGAATCTATGTGTTCAATCTGATTAATAGTAATTTTAAAATCTATATGAACACACAAATATTCTATTAATAAAAATTAACACATTATACAGTGAATAAATATAATCAAGTTATTGGGCTATTTATCCAATCAGACACGAATTGTTTATGAACTCTCCTTAATGTGTAAAAAAAAAATTTAACTAACTTTTAGGAAACACCCAACTTCTAAATAGATTGTACTGAAATGTTTTTTTATTACAGGTTATTACTTTATTTTGGTATTTAAGAAGTAAAACAAATGTTCAGGTGAGTGTGTGTGCAAGCAAAACCTGTAGCCAGGAAAAAATCCGGTTTTTGAGATTCATCAGTTTTATGAAATTCGGTTTTGAGAGTCTGTACCTGTAGTCCACCTGACTCTGTGTTTGGAAAAGGACAAGTTGAGTTGCTTCTTTGAACAGATAGGACAAGAAAAAAGATTAATATGCTATAATTAACTAAGACTTATTGAGAAGTTTAGAACTCAGTGACTGGAATTTTATCCAGTTGAGTCATCATACAGTACCTTCAATGGTTTTCTAGTATTGGGAAAATTACATTGAAGTACTGTACAATACTCCAGTTATTTTTTGTGATGTGAACAAGGTATGTTCTTTTGACAGAGACAAATCCAATGGCAGTAGAGGAAGTTTGCCAACACTTCAATGACCTGCGCTCCGACCTGGTGCTTATGTATGACCTCCGGACCATCCTGATCAACTATGTATTTGACCTTCAAACTCTCAAGCATCAGTGTCAGAGTGTCATGCCAGACAAGGTTTGATTCACGAGCCTTTTTCAGTCACCTCAAGCTTGATTGTGTGATGTGACAGGGGTACATTAAATAGATAATTGAGGCCTTGTTGTGGAGAGAGAGTACCATAGTGGAACACATCTATTAGGCACTAAGAGTGAATGATGGGAGAATGTGTGTGTGTTTGCTTTTGATCTAAGCCAACGAGAACATTAGTGGGTAAAGGTTAAAAAACAAAATGTGAACTATCATTAATACACCTAAATATTTTTACTCAATAAAGTAATGTACAGTATATAACAAATCCCCAAAGTTGGAAATTTATTGTATAATCCTCCACCATAATTTTTTTACCGTTAAAGTCAACATGGGGGGGTGAATGATGGAAGAGACCAGTGAGGATGATAAGAATAGAAGAGTGTGTAACCGAGAGGCATTAATGTTGCAGTGTTCGGGAGAAAGGAATTGGCATGAGAGAGTGCATGTAAGGTGTGTATTAACATGGAGGGTTGTGTGGAGATATATAAAGATTGATGGATGGGTTATGAGTTGATCGCTTAATTCCGTGTACTGTATGAGTGGCTTGACAAAATCGTAAGACTTTAACTGTCAGCAAAGTTACAATTAATGTCCTGGGCTCCTACCACTGTACATCAAGAGACAGCAAAAAAAACAGTTCTTTCATGAAGGGAGACAGAAATTGATATTGTAGTTTGAATGGAGGTAGAGAAGCTTTTCAATTATTTGGGAATGGATGTGTAGGCAAATAAAACAATGAGTAGATGAACTAAATCACAGAGTGGTGGATTGAAAGAAAGCAGTAGATGGATTTAAGAAAAGCATGGAGAGAGAAAATGGTGGATAAGGTCATGTTGGGGATGTACAGGGGAAGTGATGTATATAAATGTGATTCTGGTGAATAATGTGTGGAGTGAGTACATAAGGATGTAGAGAATAAAAAATAAGGAAGGACTTGCTACTGATGGGTAGTGCAGGAGCATGTGAAGTGACAAGTCAACTAGATAAGATATTTGAGGCCTTGTTGTGGAAGGAAAACACCATAGCAGAACACATCTGTCACAGCAGTAAGAATGAAAACATGATAGAAATTGAGGGAATAGTGTGTGTGGGGGTGTGTGGGTTCTTGTTTACAACCACCCTGAATCTTAGTAGGAAAAGTCTCTAAAATGTTTTAAGTTTTCGCTATCATCATCTTTCAGGTTTTGGAGATCCCCGAGTCACTGACCATCAACCCAGGGGAAGAATCACCAAGTCGTCCTCGGGCCATTTCCGAAATGATTGATGCTGTTGCAACACCAACCACACCTAATGTAAGTTGGCTGTGCATGTCAGCAGAGAGAACAAGTGTACTGTATTTCAAGTATACAACATTTGTTTCCAACAGTGCATTTGTGTTGCAAAAGTCAGAAATCTTTCTTGTTTGGAATTCTATATTTCTGTACATGTGTTTGTGTCACCAAAATACTCAATAACTAATGGGGATACAGACTGGAACACTCATAAAATTCTGGTTACTTTTGGACAAAGTCAAAGTCACCAAGAGCTGTCTGACTGTGGGTCTAACTCTAATAACTCCAACCCCTGAGTTTTCAATTTCATCACTACTTCTAATATTAGTCTTAATTACTTGGGTTAAGTGGTGCATAGGGTTAACCATTTAAACAAGCACATATTGAACTTACATACTTTGTTTTTAAGTTACAAGACAAGGAAGTGTGTAGGTTGTTGCAGCACAGTCCTTTCTGTTTCTATTTCATTATGTTCTGCTTCCACATCTCCTCTAATTAAGGATTCAGTTTCACTTGAGCCACCCCGCACATAACTGGGAAAGGAGGAAATATAATAAAAGTAAATATCATTGCTATTACATATGTAGGAAGGATACCACTGGTAATTATCATGGGATGGAGCTTGGGGTATGAAGAATGAATTCTAGGGTTTAGGACCTGTTTAGTTTTTGATAGTTGGTGTTTAGTATGAGTATGTGAAGTTCTGTAGGATAGCAGCAGTCTCTCTTAAGTGTTGATGACCAATAGCTTAAAATCACAGCAAGTATTTTCAAGTCCGCTTACAGGAAAAAAGGTAGCTGGGGTTACTAACAGGAAATGATTAAAAGATGTGTGAAAATTTTATTTATTTATTTTATTTTATTTTGCACTCATGTTGATGTGACTAACTTGACCAGGACAGAATTTACAGAATGAGAACAAGCATGTATGCTTTTGATATCATCAAGGGTGGGTCATGTTGTACAGATTCCTGTGTTGTTTTCAACTTCCACAAATTCTCTCCATATTTTATGTACTCGATATGTACAATATTTCCACACAAGTTTTTTACTGTTACAGAGGAAGCGGAAAGCAGCGCTGGAACAGAGCAACGTTCTCAAGAAGATAAAAGCGAGAACTTAGTACTAGTGTTATTGATAAATAAATTTCGTAAGTTAATTTTTACCTCTAACAGTATCAGTCAGATGTATATATTTTGATGTACCATTACTTTTTAGTTTCCCACCTAATCTTTCTCATCATTCCCTTGAAATAAATTATGAATAAAAAATCTAGAATGCCTTGAAGATTACTTATAAATCTTACTTTTGAAATCTTCGTTTTTTTTTATAAAATACTTTCTTCTCTGCCTGTATTACTTTGTGATTTGATAACCAAAAATAAAAATTGTCTGACTTAATTATGTGTGGTTATTGTGACTTGATAAATGCATGTTGCACCATACTATACCTAATAGTCTTGTGGACCTCTTCTGTCTAAGATATCACACCTGCAATTCCTTTATCATTATCATCAAAGGAAAACATTCACAGTTTTTTGAGATCAGAGGCTCGTGTTGAGGTGTAGAGAGTGATCAAACCATGAAAAATCCAGATTAAAGTTCAGTATTTTCAGTTAGGGACAGTGTGAATACAGAACACTAAATACTAAGCCTTTTGTTACACAAAGAGACAGCATTGCTGGCACTGCACTTGTATTGCCTTCCACTCCCAGCAATTAACTCCCCTGCACCAGACTAGGGTCGGTCTGTTTGTGGGGGCGGGGCATTCTAATCTTACAAACTGGTCATATACAATATAAATAGTAAAGAAATACATGTACTGTATTTAACACAGGTTGACATCATAGAGGCTAGGAAGAGTGTTGTTGCGGAGTCAAGAAGGGCCATGAAGTGTGAGGCAGGCAGTACAAGGTACACTACACTTGTTTTATTATGTTATTACTACAGTATTTACCATTATTATTACTGCCTCCAATGATTGATGGTCAAGACCCCTACCATTCTTGCACTTGGGGGGTAGAATCATGTGGTGAGGCATATGAAGTTGAAGGGTAAGGCTCCTCCATCACAAAAACGGGGATGGGAGGCTCGCATGCGTGAGCGAGCGAAGATAAATGCCTACTTGGCAACATTATCTAGATAGGCCCATGTGGCGATTCAAACAGTACCGTGAATATAAATTTTTTCATATGACGGGAAATGAAGCTTGGAGGTTTAAATAAATAGCATACAATATTTATAAGAAATGGTACAGTACTGCAATGTGTTTTGGAATCAAATTCAAGTGAGTCTTGTGTAGATTTAGCAAAGATTTTAAGGTAGGGGTTTAAGTAATGTTTATATACAGTATTATAAAAAAATATAGTAACTTACATCCAACAATAAAAATGTCAAAAGGATTATGTATGAAAAAAAAAAGCCAAGTCTGAGGAGTTCTATTTTATATACAGGAATTACAACTTGTTGTTTGACTAGACATAACAAGTTTGGGAACGGCAGGAAATTTTTTTACATTAGTGGCAGATTACTGAAAATTTGAGAGCGAACTCTGATTGTGATAAGACTTCACTTGGATTTTATATCTACAAGTGTAAATTCTGAACCCAAGTACAGTAATTGAATATTATTATAGTTATCAAATAACCTTTGTACAATTTAGTTTGAATATTTTGTATTTATATACATGCTCTGTGATCATGAAACAATAAATGCATCATGAAAAGCTACAACTTGGACTGGAATTTTATTAAATAAAACTGGTTTTATTACACTTAAAAATTGAAACTAAATTGACTAAGTAATAATAATAATAATAATTTGTGACAAGTATTTGATGATTAATTTATTTTCAAATTTGTTTCTTCATAAGGCTGCCACACACACAACTGACCTGACATACCAATAAACATTTAATAACTGCAAGTACATGACCTAACATAAAATTTGAACAGGTTTCACATATTGCAACTTCCTTCATGGATAAGCAGTATTTAAAATCTTTTGCAATACAAGAAATGGTATCACTGAATTTCTCTTGCATTAATAACCTTATTTGTCATAAATATATCTTTGATCAGTATACAGTAGAACTTCATACATTATTTATCTCGAAGTCACAGAGAATTGACATTTTGGGGGGGAAAGACTAAAGCAACCAAGTGCTATTTTAAAGCTATGCTGCCTGCACTTTGTTGTGTAACAGTTATCAGCTAGTTTCAAGTGTTTTAATGCTTGTACTATTATTTTATGAACTTGTACTTCATTAAAAAGACCCAATTTCAATAGAGTACTGTATTTAAAAATCAGATAAGTTTATGAAAAAAAATTTCATTATTCACATCTCTATACAAAAGTACATTAAGTTTTAACCCTTTCAGTGCAAATCCAGAGTGAAAAAAACTGAAAATCTCAAAATATTTTACCTTCCAAAGTTTTGTCTTACAATGTAAAAATAAATTTTATGCATTTGTGTAGACACACAAATACACATGTACAATGAATGACAAAACTCGTGTCGTGAAATTTGGTGAAAACATATGCCGAAGGGCTAAACTTTTGGTGCGCTCTGCCTTGTGGTAGGCGGCTCTCATAATGTTTCACGAGTTATATTTAATCTTTGGACAAAACCGCGACACGACTTTTGTCTTTAATTGTACAGTCGACCCTCGTTAATTTGGACCCCTTTAATCCGGATTTCGGATAATTTGGACAAAATCTGAACTTTTTTTTTTTTTAGATTTGTAGGAATATTACCTACGCGGATCTTAACCTAAAATGCTGGTCCACCCACTGCTGAGATAAAACACCAGCGTCTTTTTGGTTAAATGTAACATCACCACTAGTGTAGAGGGGGGATGCAACTTTTAGCTTCAGACATGAAAAATATTTACCATTTACTGCCAGTAAACAATGGAAACGTAAAATATGTACCAATTAGTAATGAAAAGTTGTGCAGTTCCTTCAGCAAATGAAGCTCACCAACTTACAATAGGCTAAATTACCTTACAACGTGTTTTCAGTTGTCTATGTTGAAGTTCTTAGCACAGGCTAACTTATCATATCACATACGGTATCACAGTTCTCATTGATCTACAAAAAATACCGGTAATAAAACCCTTTTCTATATTTCACACTTACTATAATACCCGGTAATCTACTTCAACCTCCTATTGTTACAACGACGCATGACGCACCACCAGCTGTTGAGTATCAGCTAGACCAGGGGTTCTCAACCAGGGAGGAATTTCCCCCCTCAGGTTTTCAGGGGGGGGGGGAACTGATACTAATATGGAAAAAATAAAGGATTTTCAGTATTATATGCATATTATTTGGAATGCACTTTTTGAGGCAGACAATCTTGGAAAGGAGGGGGAATGACATTCTGACATATGGTGAAAGGGGTGCATGGGGCAAACAAGGTTGAGAACCACTGAGCTAGACGGTACACTTGTTTCTCGAATCGTTTTCAGTTAAAAAACTGTTACATCACACGTATATTTTACCTTAACTGTGCCTGAATGAATATATTCTCAGAAATAAATAGTAGTTTTGCTGAAACGTGATGTATTTTAATGTAAAATAGGATAAAATACATGACGAAAATAAAAGATTTTACCTAACCTTCCGATGTTCAAGAGAAGTTACTCGTTTTTTTAATAGTTTTTGGTTAAAATACTGTTATATTACAATGGTATTCTATTCATACTGTGCTTGATATAATGCATTCACGGAAATGTAATATTTTTGCTGAAATGACGTACGTATTACAGTGGAAAGTGGGATAAAATTGTGACGAAAACAATGACTTTCGCTTTCTTTCGTTCAAAAGATGTTGCCGTAATTGCTTTTCGAATGGTTTTCAATTAAAAAACTGTTGTATTACAATAATATTCTATCCTAATTGACTTGAAAAAATACAACGATGCCATATTTCTGAATATTTTCATTAAAATCCATCCAAATCATTTTCCTTGTCATCGTCTGCAGCACCAAACAGCTTCTCCCAGTCCTCTCCTTGAGCAGGGCTAGAGGGTACGCGTTTTTCGAATCGTCTTCAGTTAAAAAACTGTTACATCACACGTATATTTTACCTAAACTGTGCCTGAATGAATATATTCTCGGAAATAAATAGTAGTTTTGCTGAAACGTGATGTATTTCAATGTAAAATACATGACGAAAACAAAAGATTTTACCTAAGCTTCCGATGTTCTTGAGATGTTATTCGTTTTTTTAATAGTATTCGGTTAAAATACTGTTATATTACAATGATATTCTATTCATACTGTGCTTGATATAATACATTCACGGAAATGTAATATTTTTGCTGAAATTACGTACGTATTACAGTGGAAAGTGGGATAAAATCGTGACGAAAACAATGACTTTGAAATATAATGCAATATTAACCACTAAATCGGTTAATTCGGACAATCGGCTAAAACGGACACCCTTCCCCCCTATTAGTCCGAATTAACGAGGGTCGACTGTACACACACACACACACACACATCCACAAAACTGCAGCTCAGCTCTGCCTAGTACAGTATGTCTCATTTCATCACATACTGTACACACTCATATACTCACACACAATACTACTATCATATCCTGGGTCATCTGCATCTTCTTCACTACCAGACAACCACAATCATTCTTCAATTTCCTGGGCACTCAGACCGTGGTGTGGATGCTTGGACTCTAATCTATTCTGTCATGACTGAGAAGTCACTGGCAGGCCAATACCTTCAACATACCAGGTGATCAAATGGAATGAGTTTATTTGCCAATATACCAGGTGATCAAATGGAATGAGTTTATTTGCCAATAAGATTCAAAGTATGGGCGGGAAAATTATTACTGCATGTGGTGTGGCGATCGCACTGATGTTCTCTGCTGCATAGGATGCAGGAATTGCATTAAAAGGGTTAAAATATAACTGCCAACCTTTGCTATTGTACATGAGCTGCACCAGGCCTTGAGACAATGATCAGTATTGAATTGGGCAGGTTCGCAGCACTACTACTGTACAGTGTGTTGTACCGTGTTATTGTAAATTAAAAGAAAAGTGACATAGCTCCAAAGAACAGTGAATGTAACTGGCAACAGTGTAGATGTGTGGCCAAGGCAGCAAAGCTGGTTGGCTAGCTGCCTTAAGAGTATCAGTTGATTCAGCCTGTTAATGTTATCTTTGGGAATTTATAAATGTTCACTTCAGTGGTGCACGGCTATTGAGAGGAATTTATTTTCAACAACCCCACAGTTTTTGTTATTGGAAACAACAAAGCACTGTTGTGACACTTAGTACTGTATGCATAATCACGACTAACTCGTTTTAGTAAAGTGATTTGTTGCTTATAAGATAAGAACTGTAACAACCAATATTGTATATAATTTTAAGAAAATTCAACTAAATAACTGTGCAGCACTAAACTGATCAATTATTTACCTCTGGGACTTCACCAATGAAATTCTACATGATTTAGGGTGTGGTTGGGCTGTAAAGGAAAGAGGTCCTGTTCAGAAAACCAAAAATTCTGAGTTTCTGAGGTCCTACTGTACTGTATACTGTTTATCCATTCTGGAAGAATAATCTTGACAATACAATTTCTTGCCATCTCTCAATAGATCACAATGTTGTATATTTTTTATCATGAAGACAGGGCCTACTGATAATTATTAACAGCAGTGTGTACAGCACAGACAGTAAAGTATCTATTCTGTAGTAGCCACACCCTCAGCTGTTACACTTTGCACTACAATTATTTTTGTATGCTATTGTACAGTAGCTAAAAGAACTATCTGTACATACTTTGTGGAAAACAATATGAGAACATGGATGATAAATATTGGTATATGAGGGCTGTCACTAGTAACACGTAAAATTTCGGAGCATATCGACTCCCACCTGCACAGATAGTTATTTTAGCTACTGTACATATACTGTAGCTAGAAATTGTATTTCCGATATAAAGTTTATAAAAAAATTAATAATTTTTTTAAATCAAATGGAATGATCTACAATAAATATTTTAAATCTACAAAATATTTTAAGAAAAGTATGATAATATAGTACCATTTTATAAGGCTTTATTTTAATAGAAGGAAAATAAATACATCTGCAGTATTCTCATCACAAAACAATTAAATAAAAAAAAAAAACATTCACAAGCTCATAACTAAATGAACAAATAGATAAATATTAAATAATTATGATACAGATTGTAGGCCTGAAGTATCACAGACTACTTGAAAAGTGTTTTTTTTTATATATTACATTTGTAATCATCACTCCTGTAAAAAAATTGTTAAAATATTTTTCCAATCTGAAAACAGGTACTCCTCGACATATGACCTACTCAACTTACGACCACCACAGTCGTACAATTTTTTTTTTTTTTTAATTACGTATTTTCGAGTCCCGACGTCAGTGATCGCGCTGTGTACTGAAAAATTTTTCGTTCGTAATTCCCTTTAAAATGGCTGGCAAGCGTAAAAGTGAGAATTCTCATGGTGCTGAGAAGAAAAAGAGACACCCATTTTAGATTTTCTATATATCATTTTCGCATTTTCGACCTGGTCGTCGGTCCCTAAACCCATCGTAAGTCGGGGACTGACTGTATATATTTCTCTCTCTTCATTATATGTTCCTATTAAAATAATAATTCAATAAACTTTCAATGCTCAATAAACAGTAAAGGTAAAAAAAAATTGGTCTTTGTGTAAATGATAAATAGCAGCCATTATATAAATAAATTACTGTACTCATACTATATTATATATCGCTGAGCTGGAGTCCAGTTGCTACATACTTTATAAACTATTGTCTGTCAGTTAGTTTAATTTCTCTCAATATATATTGCAATACTTATCATCATCGACTCATGGCCTGATACCTGATGACAGCTGTCCATGCTGCATGGCCTCTAGCAGTCTCTTGTCAAGTTCCTAATTCTTATGTAATTTCTTACAACCACTCCCCATGTCATTCTTGGTCTACCCGTGGCTCTCCTCCTTTCCACATTTAGGCTCGTGCACCTCTTAACCCAATTGGTCAAGAAAGGAGCGAGTGAAACCCAGAGCCTGAAGTTTAACTACTTAAGTTGAAATAAGTGCTATAAAACCTGTAATTTTCTCTTCAGCTTAATAGATAGTAACTAAACTTTCCTACAGTTAAGTGTTGTGGTGACTAGGCTCATTTGGTTCAAAACCTATGAGGATGTTCAACACATATGGCACAAACAGGATGAAAATCAGTTCCTCCATCACTGAAATATTGCTTAACTTTAAATACCATTAATGCAGGTAAACATTACACAATTCATGCTGGCGATGCAACAATGAAGTTTCATCCAATATCTCTACAAAAGTTAAGAGATCAGGCAGGAGTGTCTGGTGCTTTCTTTTGGTCCTAAAGTTGGTTGTGGCCTCATGATCCTTTCCATCTAAATCCATGACAAACTTGTATTAAGAGCAAGTGTTAAGGTAAGTACAAA